TTTTTGGTTAAATTTGGCACAGCTGGGTTTTCAAGACTAGTGGGATGTAACTGTATACTTTGAATTTTCAAAGTATACATTTGTACTTTGTGGTCACTGCAAGGGAATATAATTACCAGCACTAACCTCCAACAACCGCTTTTCCCAGTGATTGAGCTCAGTACCCATGCCACCTTGATTTTCAAGCTCCATTCCCTCTAAGACTGGGCAATCAAAATGTTTCCGAGCTTCTTCCTTCAAAACAAAAGCAGTTTCAACCCAACTTTTAAAATACTGAGAAACATTCAGACATGCAGTTCTCAATGTTAATATTTTTTTTTAAGAAAGCTATTCTCGAACTCCCCTTTACAATACAAACTTATCTTCCTTGTAGAAATAATGCAAGGAACTCAGAATTTCCTTTGATTGACAGCTCCTATTAGTCAGCAACTCCCCCACAGATTCCTGCAATCTAACTGTTTATCACCCAAAAGTTATTTTCCATCCTACTTACTTTTCCAACTTCTTTATCAATTACGGCCATCTAAAAAGACGATTAAGCAAACCATTTTTTTTAATTCCCCTTTTCACCAAATAGTGTAGAAAACCTCATGGTTAGATCCATCTCCAGGTATTTTGAGCAAATCATGTTCCTGAGTAACAAGTCAGTTTTTGTAAACCAAAAAAAACTTAACAGAAAAAACTAGGCTTTGATGGAATTTTCTATTAGAAATTTCCAAACCTATTCAGCAGATAATAAGCATCACAACTTACTCAAGATTTATAGCCAGCCCTCCCAACTCCTACTTCAAAACATGGTACTGGCAAAGATGGGCAGGAGAATCTAACTATGTCTACGAACAGATATTCGACTGAAATGCTGCCAATTTCTGGGAAATCTGCAGCATTGGAAAATGCAGCAGGAAGGGAAGGCTCAAAAACATTATAGCTCTTCAGCCAGAGGGCTGGAAAGTCACCCCAAAAGGTAAGTTCTCCAGCCAGAGGGAAATATGGAGCTGCTCCCTTCCCCCTTCCCACTCCCAAAGGACCCTGATACCTGACAGTCTGCCCTATCCACTATCAAGGAAAAGGGGAAGGCCATCAATAATCAGCTGGAAATTGCTGAAAAGTATCAACTGCTAAGGACAGCTCTTCTCACCCCTGCCACCCTAATAGTGCCACTGCCAAAGCTTCAGCTCTTACCAAGGCTCTTAGCAGCAGCAGGAGGAATTTGCCTCACCATAACCCTTACACTATCCCCTCCACTCTCTGCCTGTCTATTCCACCTACTTCACTGATCAACAGAAAGCCAGCAAGAGCTTAGACTAATTGTTGAAGCAGCTATGGCAGCAAGATCCTCACAAAGCTCCCTGACAGCTCACCCTGGATAGCCAACCACATACTCTCCCTCTCGCTCCCTCACCTGAGAGGGACCTCTGCCTCCCAGAGCACCACGTGAAACTGAACAGGCATTACATATGGCGCTGGGAAACTACTCTTAGGCAAGGCTGCTGTTTGAGACGGCTAACAGGTTGTGGCAGAATTGTATGTTTTTTCCACCACAAACTACTTGAACACTTCCATGCTCAAGTTTCATGCTGGGGAAAGGGCTGGCCCCTATTCAGTGCTTTGAAGAGTTTGGATACAAGTAATGTCATTTTCCTGAAAGTAAAAGGTGTTGCATCAGACTTGCTGTGAACATTTCCATAAATCTAAGATGCATGTTTGTTTGACAGTCAGAAAATTGCCCAACCTAGAGGAGTGGGCAGTTAATCCTAGTCCAGCACAGCCACCCTCAGTGCTGCTGCCCTGAAACTGACTAGGATCCATCAGTTTCAAGGCTTCAATTCCAGGCAAAGCCTTCCGACTCATCATGTAACAAGCACTAATGCGAAGTGAACAGCTGAGCAGAGGCTCTGACTAACAAGGTAACAACAATAAAGTGTGAAAAGTTGAGCATCCAATGTGATTTTGCAGGCAGGGTTAAGTCAGTTTAAGCAATGCTTTTTAAATGAGGAAGTCAATGGGATTTGGCAAACGGCTAGTGCCATTTACAACATTTGAAAGGCTACCTGCCTTACCGCAGGCCTCTCTGTGTGGTTTATACTGCATCACCATTAATGTTTGAGTTAAAACACTATGCAAAAAAAAGGCAAACACTGAAAAGGGGGAAGCATTAAAAGACCGAATCCTTAAATCAACAGAGGTTGTAGGTGTATAAAGACCCATGCTCAGACTTGAAGAAATGAAGAAGAGAGCAGGATGGAGAAATGCACTTAACCACCCAATCTACTTTGACCTTTCACCGGACACTTCGGTGTCTCTCCCAACCCCAGCATTTTCTCCTCACATTTAATCTCTCTCCTTACATGTTAAGGCTACTTAATTATTTTCTCTCTCAATTAACTATGACTATGATTGTTCTTTGAAGTTTGATATTAAGAAGGTGATACAATCAAAAAAAGCCCCTGTGCTCATATTCAGCTAGTTAAAAGTTTCTGCTCTTCAACAAGAAGAGGCTGTGCCTGGAGAATTGCTGTGCTGTGGTCACATACACTGCAAATACAGCTTAAATCAATAAATACTTACAACGACTCGAGGTGTAACCAGAAGAAATACATCATGGCGCAGCATTTTACCACCTCGTATATCCCACAACCTCACCGCTTTACGAACAATCTTGTTGCTCCACTGATACAAACCTAGACTGTAAGGAGAATGTGTCAGGGATCTAAGCAATAAACCTAGGCTACCCACCAAAATTAAACATTGCTACCTTCCCTAACTGAACAAAAATCTTTGTATTATTTTTCTCATGCACTGTTGAAGGTGCAAGATTTAACTTGGGCAATATTTATTTTGTACTAGTCTTATAATAAAACTACTTCCCATTTGGTGATAAGATAAACTAAATAAAGGTATTGAAGTAATACCTTTCTGAGCTTTCTGAAAAGCTTTCTGAGTCAGGAAGTATCTTTTCTAGATACTATAATATGAACCTGTAACTTGTACCTGAAGGAAAGAATCTAAAAGCTAAGAACTTCTGCTTGCAGAACTGCATAAAAGGAATCTGTTTGGACTAAGAAAGGAAAAACATTAGTTGCAGAAATATTTATCCTAAAAAAAATGTCCAAACAGAGTTTACTGCTTTTTTTATGTTTAATTTAGCATACTGTGAATTTTGTTTAATGGTATATCCAAAGAAATACAAGCAGAAGTTACCAGCCGACATTAAGCTATTACCTATTTAAAAATCCTGGAAGAAGGGAAGTTGGCAGCTGGACATCCTACATCAAGTATATTCAATTACACCGATGTCTGAGATATAGATAAATACAGCTCCTGATATAGTAAGTAATTAAGTATGTGCCCAAGTTTAAGAATGAGCAGTACTACCAAATTCAGTGAAACCCCTTACAAATTTAAGGCGCTGACAGATGTGGGGAAAAAAAAAACCAAAACCAAACAGAACAGCAGTCTACCAGAAGAGGAAGCACATTAGTTCCATGCGGCTCCCCAGCATCTGTATAGATTGGATGCTTCAGGGGGGGCTTTTTGGCGTTTTCTCTCATAGGTGATAAAATCAGCCCTGCTGAAGCTCCTAAGCTATACAGATGTTGAGCAAGCTGAGTCAAACTGACATGATGCCTCTTCTTGGCATACGCTGCTCTCGGCATGGGAATGGGCCGAGCTAAAAGTAAAGTGCTGGTTCCCACTCCCCTCCCATGTCTGTAAGCAGCCTTAAAAAGCGTAAATGCCTCACTGAATCAGATCCATTAGGACTTTCCTTGTAGTCCTCTCAGGCAAAACTCCTGGGATGAGTGCAAAATAAATCACTTATATGTATTCCAGTAACTATTAACACAAAGAACAACAATGCTCAGTGCTACAATCAGCCACTCTATATTACCATATCATTTTAATGAGAGCTTAGATACTCAAGTTAAAGTCTACAGAAGAGGCTGGGACTGAACTCAAGATGCTGCCCCAAGTTAAAATCCAGCTTACACGAATCTTTCCTGCTATTTTAACCCAAGATAAGAGCACACGTGTTTCTGCAGTGGAGTCATAACCTGGGGCACGCTGCATCTGGTCATCTTGCTCTCTAGGGGTAACACTTGAAAATTAAAAAAAGGCTTCATGCTAATAATAGTATAGAAAGTCTACAAGATACAAAACCAACATCTGAGCATGATGATGCTGGATAATAATTCAGCAAGAGACACAAATAGGATTTTTAGACAGCATAACTGAACATGCATTAATAAAACAAGAAGCAACAGCCAGTTTGATAGCATCCTTTTAATAAACTAGGGAAAATGAGATTTAAAAAAAATACCTCTTGTTAAAAGGTGGAAGACCATTTGCATATCTTGCTGTCAAAGGATTTCCATCATCATCACGATAAAATGCAAACAGCCCAGCAGAAAAACCCTTAAGGAGAGTCAAAAAGCATTTTTAGACTGTTTTTGTTATTGGTCTGTAAAAAAAATTCATTAAGAGACCAATATACAACCCCCCCAATAGATACATTGAGAATATTTCACCTGAAAACAAGTAGGAGATGCTGAAGGATGCTAACCAAATGTGTTTTCCTCACACTCACCGTTCTTTCTTTAAAAACAAGCTCAGAGCATACAAGGTAATAATGACAAAATTATGGAAAACTACATTATAAAATACTGAGTCTTACCAGTGCATGGATAACTTCATGTTTCACTGTTGAAAGCATGCCTATAAATTCCTGAGCTTGAGTAGAAATCATATTTGGACACAAATTAGCATATCCAGCTATTGGCCTAGAAGACAGACATCAGTTTTGTCTTTTTTTAGGTTTTTTGTAAGAATACAATTCATTTAAGTGTCAAGCAATTTAAGTCACATTAAATACGAAATAAAAGGTTATGCCTCAAACATGCTTAACCTTAAAAGAGAAGTCAATTAATAGCAGAAATCAATTTAACAACAAGGCCTTGGGTAACATTCTCTCTGGCTATGTAACGGCACACATCTAAAAATACTCTAAACACAGCATATAGAAGTTCAATAACCAGTCAATGAATTAACTCATTAAATGCAAACTTCTCTACCAAGCAGCAGCCACTGTACAAATACAAGAGGTCTGTGTTTACATAAAACCTAAATTTTATATTAAGAGACTGCTGGTATCCACTCTGCATAAGCAGTTAAATTTTAATAAAATTTAACGATTACAGGATATGAGGATTATTATTTGAGCTCCCAGACCTGACAAGCCAAATAAATTCCTTTCTCCACCACCAACACTATTTAAAAAAAAGAATTAAAAAAAGTCAAGCCATTAAAAAGGAACCTGGCCTACTGAACACCTTTTATTGTAGAAATCTGTAAACTATTTTTGACAAGACCAAACATTGCTCTTAAAAACCAATCTGTTATACCAGAACCATAAAGCCTCCGCTCTCTCCACTTCTCTATCCCCAAAGCTAGCAGCAAATGCAGTTTGCTGATGTTTAAGTTATATAAGCGGTCAGAGATTACTTGCTGGGTTGGTCTGATACCATGCTATGATCAATTTTAAAAATTAGAGATGTTCACTCCGCTGCAGCTTGGAAAAATTCTCACTAGTTGACTGCACAAAAATTTAGGATGACAGTGCATTGCCGAGGGCAATTTCAAGGAGGCTCCAGACAAGGAAGTGAGTCTAGGGATAATGAATGCAACTACAGAAACAAACAAAAAAAAAAATGCACGTGTAACCGTATTTCTGCAGTTATGGAGCAACCTCTAACTCTACTTAAAATTAGGGAGAATTTTACCACTTACTTCAGTGAAGCAGGATCTTGCTTTACTATACTATATCAAGCACTAAGAGAGAAGGACTAGGATTCCTAATTTTTCAGTTTTCCTGGGTTTAGCGTTATTTGATAGTTTTGAGGTTGCATACAAACATTTAACTTAAATTTGTACTTGAACATTTAGGAAAGGTATTCCTATCTTCTTCATCTCTGCACTTACTGGCCCGTAACGAAAAAGAAAAAGTTCTGAATATGTCACCTACCCACAATGTCACATTCCACTGCAATTATTTTCCACCCATTATATTCAACGTTACAGATGTGCATTCAGCCAAACATACTTAGATAACTCAGTAGGCAAGTGATGGTAATTATAATTCAGATCCAAAGATTTAAGAAACAAAAAGACCCTCATTACTTAATAAATACTAAATTTAGTCTAGAATGAATTCTTACCTGTCCATTTCTGCTTCCAGTTGGCAGTAGGCTGCATATGCAATAATATTTTCCTGACCACACCTTTCTGTGGTAAGAGCACTAACATAAAGTACAAAGTCAGCGTCTCGAACCCCTTCTTGATCTGGTATGCCATCAGGTCCACAATGCCATTTACTTTCATTGCACACTCTACATTGCTGTGACAGTGCAATTTCAGTGGGGAAAAAAAAAGAAAATTAGCTGCAATAACTGCTGAATTCCTAGAAATTGAGCATATTGGTCTTGAAGCCAAAATGTATTTAAAAAAACCCTTCCCGTGGACAGAATAAATATACTGGAGGCAAGATATTTCTGGAAACAACTAGTGATTTGGATTCCTCACCTTTGAATGCCAAACTTGAGATGTCTTAAAATGACTTGAGTTTCAGAGGCTGAGCAGTTTGAAAGCAAGGCCATGTTTAGGTCTTTAAATTTCTACATCCAAATCTAAGGCACCCTTAATCACTAAATGCCTTTGAAAATCCTGGCTCAAAGCAACAGTTAATATGGCTGAGACTACATTTATTATGAGCATGTCCCCTGACTCAGTTTAATGAAGGAACTTCAATGAAAGCCCGTGTCCAAGTGTTACATAGTTCATTTAGAAAAAGGTTTCAGTTAAAGCTACACCACTTACAGCAAATTAAGTGAAACCTTAGACATCTATTTTAGGGAGAGTCAAAAATAGCCTAGTGAAAAAATAAAAGTTGTGGCAATGGAAGATTTCGTTAATTAAGAACTTCAGAACTGGACTCAATTATTAATTTTACAGAAGCTGAACAAAATGAACAAGTGTTATGATTTTTTTTGAGAAAAACACAAAGATTGAGGGTGATATCTTTTATTGGACCAACTATGTAGTTGGGATAGAGTTAGACAAGCTTTTGAAAGCAAGACATTCTTCATTAGGTCCCTATCTTGCATTCAAAAGCTTGTCTAACTCTATCCCAACTACATAGTTGGTCCAATAAAAGATATCACCCTAAGAAATTCTTACTTCTTGCATAATTTCGGCACCATCATGGCTACAACATTTTACATTACCATGATATTTTAAGACGTTTGATTTGATATTTTAAGAAGTATGATTACATCTTAGTCTCTATATTCAACAATCTTACTCAGCCAATTTTTCTTTGCGATTGTGCTTTTACTGCATAACAATGATATACTTTCCACATAAGTGCATCGTAATGTAAATATAACTATCCTTATAGAAGAGTGAATTATTTGACTTCTGTCCTATAAATTTAAAGTTAAACAAACACTACTATTGCTTTAGATCTGATTGTGTCTAGTGGCTCATGCATGGTCATCTCCCACAAGTAATCCACATAAATACAGACATATATTAACTTAGCTAGCAAAGATCACAAGCCAAAGAAAGTACTTTGAACACTGAGCAGAAGTCACATGGTTTGAACTACCTGTAGATGTTCCTCAGGAACCACGACCGGCCCACATTTTGTGTGGTCTGCACAAGCTTCTTGGCAATATCTATGAGGATCATCTTTCTTCGTTAAATATTGGCTTGTTGCACACTGCCTTCAATTAACATTGATAAAAATCAGTATTATTTCACAAATTAAAAGGTAACCTGGAAGAGTACCCGAGGAGCAAAAGATACTGGAATAGACAGATGCAGGAATATTACTATTTACAGCTCCAAAGTTAAAAAACATTTGAGAGGTTACTGTTGCACTGCCCCAGGAAAATCAAGATACTTTTCTACAGCTGCATTAAAATCCATTCAAGGTATCTTTAATGTCAATGGAGCCAAGAATATCAAACAACACTAAACATACCTGCTTAGTAGGATAGTGCCAGTAGGTCTGTGGACTTGAAAAGTCTTCTCCAAATAAGAAATAGCTTGTGGGAAGAGTTTGTTCTAAATAGAACAAATATAAAAACCACAAACAATAGTTGAAATACAAGAAGACATTTATCTTAGGAGGCAATAATTATCAAATTACAAGGCACCTGCCAAATGCCAAGGCACAGTGGGAGAGTAGACAGCTAGAAACTAAGGCTTACTAAAGTGAGCAGTCATTACAATCCCAAACAACTTTCCTAAATACATTCACATTTTGCTCTCAGATTTGACAGATAAAAAGAAGCGCAGCATAACTGAAAACAAAGCTTACAATGTCACCCTAATCATAAGTGGAAAAAAATTGCTAAATGTAACAGGCTCAGAGGTGTAAGCTTCACTAACTATAAATTAGTTACTATAAATTCTAACAACCCATACCTTTGCCGTTTCCATTCTTTAATTATTTTACTTTGAACAATGGAAGACTACTTGTTGAATAACTGTAATATTAAAATATCAGAAGCTATTGCTATATTTCTCTACTACCTAAAGGACAGATTTTATTATAAAATAAGCCAGTCAGTTCCTGAACAGAAATCAGACTAAAGCCCCTGCTACATGTTACATACTGTACGCAGTTAACTAGTAAATTGAGCAATAAATTTAGACTGGCCACATATGCCAAGTAATTATCACATGATAAAAAATGATTATTCAGCTATGGAGAGAGCCAACCAGCTATAAAGTTAGTGCTTGACAATGTGTAACAACTCTAGAGTTGGTTTCTATCCAGCTTTAGTATGAACATGCAGCAGGGCCCTAAAATTAATGCTGCACAAGCATGCATGTGCAGTCTGCAGCACTGCAAATGCATTTGTGGTGCCAAGCATGCATGTGTTCACTGCGCTGCTAATTAGAGAGATCTGCACCAAAAAAAGAAATCATAGCAAAAAAGGTGGGGCGGCACACATGGCTGCAGCATTTCCTGCCCAAAATCAGAGCCTGGCCTACCAGAGCCATGCTCTGGCTGCTGGCCAGGCTCCATGTACCTGGATCACCACTGCTGCAGCCCTGGGAGGCCACCCAAGAACCCAGGTAAGGTGGCTGGGGCCAGTTCCAGCCTCCCCCACCTCATCCGAGGCAATCTATCGTGTGCCAGAGTGCATGTGCGAGGGCATGCCCGGGGACAACTAGCAGTGGCAAAAATATGTGGCACTGCTAGTTGCCCCTAGAGAAACACACTTTCCCGCTCATGGGGGCACCCACTATGTCCACATTTTGGGGTTGGAATAACTTCAGTATCAAGACATAACAGACCACACACTCTGCAGGCTTTAAAGTTTTGGAGACCTTTCATTGAGAACTACTGAAACCTGTTTCATGAAAGACAGCAGAACATAGTTAGCTTAGATGGCTTCAGGATAGGAGCTGGAAGGGGAAGAGGAGTTAAACAGCTCAGCTCACAGTAGAATGTGCTGCCCATCAGGTGAAGAGATACAGCATTTTTTTCTTCACAAAGGAAAAGTAATTAGGAAGGAGTGCAAATTGGACTCAACTGCAGCTAAGACACCATGGCACTGCAACCTCAGCAACAACAGTAGTGTCTGCTTGCCATGACAGATCCCAAAAGGCTTTCTTTACACATAAAGCACAAGTGAAACCCAGGCATTTTGAGAGCAAAAATCAGCCCACGTGCCAGGACAGCTTTAGGGAGAAGGGAATTTGCAGCTACACAGACTTTTTTTCCTTGAGCAGACATCTTTACCACTGAAGCAGACCTGACTGCTACCAAAACAGAAGTTCATCCCTGCAATAAGCCTATGTAGACGGACACAGCATATGCACAGAAATGGGAAAGAAGAGCAACTTACCTTTATAAGGTGTCTCTTCTCTGGTAGCAAGCTAAAAAAAGATGAAAAATTACTGTTATTTATGTATGTATAAGACTTGTATGCTGCCCTTCCCAAAAGGCTCAGGCTGGTTCACAATACAAGCCAGATATAAATAAAAAAAACACTTCCCTAACAATACCCCAGTTTAATACTACTCAGTTAACGTCTGCCCAAAAAAAAGGTCTTGCAGAACTTCTGGAAAATGCCCAGGATTTGGCAATCCATATGAGGAGCGAATTCCAAAGCAGAGGAACTCCAACCAAGAGCAATCTCTCATCCATTTTTGCCAAGCAAGTTTGACACAAAGATGGTACTTGTAGAAGGTTGCTCTGAGCTGACCTTAGGGATCAAGGTGGAGTATAAAGGGCAAAGCAGCCCCTTAGGTACAGAGGGCCCAGACTGGTTTAGGACCTCAGAGGTCAAAATCAGCACCCTGAATCGCACCCCAAAAGCTAGTGGAAGCCAATGTAGGCTCTGGAGCATCCAGCCCCATCAGAAAGGGGCCACTGCATTCTGCACTAGGCTGCAGCTCTGGCTAGCCAACAAAGGTAGGCCCACACAGGGAACACTGCAGTTGTCTAGACTTTAGGTTATGAACACATGGATGATCATGGCCAGATCTGAATCTGAAAGAAAGGGTCGCAGTCTTATCGTCAGATGGAGCTGGTAAAAGGTATTCCTAGCCACTGCCACAACCTGAAGACCCAGGTACAGCAAAAGATCCAAGGCTGTGGAACCAAGTGAAAAGGGGAGGCTGAACCTCAGCAATAATGGGTCTTCTTATGCCCCATAAGTCATGAGCAGGGACCCTGTTTTTCTTGGATTAAAAACCCAAAATCTGTGATAAAAATTAAAGGGCCCCCACAGCCCCTCCCAGTGCTGCTGGTGTCCTGCACTCCCCCCTCACAGCCTCAGCAGCCCTCCTGATGCCCCTCGCAACAGCCCCCCAGACCCACAGACATGGACACTGACACCCACCCCAGCAGGTGTGGGGGGGGGAAGGGGTGGGGCAGGGCAGAGGAAAGGGAAGGTGCTGGGGGAGTAGATCAAGAAGGGTGGGGAGTGTAGCCCTGTGCCCACTAGCAGCAGGGCCGGGGGGTGAGTGCAGGGGTACCACTCTGTGGGCCACACACACCAGCCGGCCTGACAGGAGGTTCGCACACAGAGGTCGCCACCACAACTCTGCCACTGTACCTTGCGCTACCATCCCATGGCCACCTGAATGGCTTTGTGGGCAAGTGGCACAGGGTGTGGCAGCAGCAGTGCAGTGGCAACCACTGTGTGCAGGCCACATATGTGCTGCCCGGCTGGGGGGTGAAACAGCGGGCTTGCATTTAGTGGCATGCCCTGCAACCAGCTGCACGGCTCCACGGTGGTGTCTGCATGCACGGTGGGGGGGCTTTGCAGGCAAGCACTGCCACCGTGGAGCCATGCCCTTCACCCCTAGATTCTAGAGGTAAGTGGGGCTTGGGGGCTGTGGGGCAGGCTGGGGAAGATGGTTTGGGGGCTGAGGGAGCAGGGGGTGCTGCTGGCCCCAAGCAGCACATCACAGCTGGGAGCATGGCTAGGGGGTGAGGGCAGGGGTGCCCATCTGCAGGGGGATTTTGCAGGCAAGTGATGTAGGGCAGTGTGGTGGTGCCCACAATGTGCAGGCCGCACCCATGCCACCCAGCTGGCTGTGCAGGGGAGGGAGATGGAGGCTGGCACGTGGCCGGAGCACAGGGCGAGGGGGCTTGCACGCGGCACTGCCGCTTACCTGGAGGCCCATTATGGCAGTGACGGCCACTGCCTCCAAGACCTCCCACTGCCACCGTGAAGCTGTGCCTGGAGCTGTGCGGCCAGCCGGGCGGCAGCGTGGTGCTGGCCAGGCAGCACGCAGCTATCCCCACCACCACCCCGCGCCACACCGCTGCCTCCGGCCACACAGCTCCAAGCACGGTTGCCCTGGGGCTGCCTGTGCCTACCCAAAATGAGGCAGCAGACAGGTGATCTTGCAAGCTGACAATAGCACCAGCCGCTAGTTTCACCCTCTTTTCATGGCATGCTGTCGACTGGCCGAGGGGCTCTGCCAGCCCCACCCCTTGCCAGTGACTGGCTCAGAGGGCTGCCCTTCACTAGTGCCTATCCCCCCACGCCCCAGAAGGCTTTGAGGCTAGGCCGCAGCAGCTGCTGGCTCCTGCTGAGGAGCCAGCATTTTGTTTTTAGTAATTTTTTTTTCCAGGGAAACTACACAAAATTGTGGAAACCACCATTTTTTGCTGTGTTTGCAGAAACCACCGGTTTTTGCAGTGTCCAAGAAAACTGAAAAATCATGATGAGTAGGTCCCTAGTTATGAGGGCTGCCAAACACAATCACCTCTTTCTGGATCTGGTTTCACTTAGTACACCACACACAGTCTCCACCTACAGCCAGGCACTGGTTAAGGAACCAGACTGCAGGTCCCAGGTCTGATGAAAGACAGCAAGCGAGCTGGGTGTCATCAGCATACTCACTGAACTGCACTCCAAATCTCCACGTGATCTTGCACGGTGGCCTTACATACAGGTTGAACAGGAGGGCCAATAAGATGGAAGCATGGTGGGCCCACAGAAAAGCTCCTGAGGAGATGAGATCCTGCCCATCAGCACCTTCTGGGACCCCCCCGCTAGGAATATCCCCAGTCAATCTCCAAGCAAACAGCACCAACCAAGGCTAAAAGCACAGTCTCTATGCTAACCAGGATGAAAGTTCAACTGATAGGGGTCCAGTATCTGGATGCACCTGGTGCTATCATGCACCCCTGTGTTCAGTGACCTTCCCCAAAAAGGGAAGGTTGGAAACTGACTCCTCAACCAGCTTGTACTCTGTGTCAAGAAAGAGCTTCTTAAATAAGGGCCACACAATAACACTTAAAAGCATCCAGAACTCTGCCTTTCCAAAGGGAGGCACTCGCCACCCCCACCGGGAATGGCCCCAATCTCCCATCTGGCATTTAGAAGTCAGGACAAGCTTGGGGCCAGTTAACAACTAACTGTTCATAGCTCTTTGCCTCTATCATAGTGGGTGTCAACAACTGAAACTGCCCTATAAAAATGGACAAGACCAAGCTTCCTCCAGGCTGAACTCTGATTCTGTAACTAAAAACAACACAGGTAAGCTAGGTCATTCACCATTCAGCAAAGTGCTACCGGAGAGTACTTTGCAGATGCAATGGCAGTGAATAAAAGCTTCTTAAAGGACTGCCACAACACAGTTCTTTAAGAAGGATCTACGCCACAATCGGCGCACACTGCAAGCTGTGCTCTAACCACCTACCCTTTTGCTTCAGCTGTGTCAGCTCACCTGTGCATCAGGATGATCTCTACTACTATATTGCTGGGAGCAGGTGCTCTGTCTATGGCTGGGGTCAATGTGCTATTCCACAAACTGACCAGGCTATCGGCAAAGTAGCTGTCAAGACAAAGTGCCCCCCAGGGAGTTCCAGAATCATAGAAAACGAGGGCTGGAAGGGACCTCACGAGATCAAATCTAGTCCAATCCCCTGCTCAAAGCAGGACCAGCCCCAACTACATCATCCCAGTCAAGGCTTTGTCAAGCTGGATCTTAAAAACCTCCAAGGATGGAGCTTCCACCACCTCTCTGGGTAGCCCCTTCCAGTGCTTCACTACTCTCCTGAGAAAGTCCCCGCTAATATCTAACCTAAACCTCCCCTGTCACAACTTGAGACCGTTGCTCCTTGCTCTGTCATCTGCCACCACCAGTCATGTCCCTCAGCCCCACAACCATTTCTGTTGCCCTCTGCTGGACTCTCTCCAGGGCGGGCTCTGCTCACCCCTCGATGCTGCGGTCGTAAACGATGTGAATCCGCAGCTGCTGCCCCGCGTGTCTCTTCAGCACATGGTTTTCTTTGAGAGGAACTCTGTAGATCACCTGGGCAGGGAGGAGGGGC